GCTGTTGTATTGATGGGGGGGGGAGGGTGGGAAACTAAAAAAAAAAAAAAAATTTTTTTTTTTTTTTTTTTTTTTTTTTTTTAGAAAGTACTCCTTTCTTTTTTTATATATATAAATATTTATAATTTTTATTTACCAATTAAATCTTGCTTCCAGACTTTTGGCAGGTATCATACCTGCTGTTGGGAATTTATGGAGTTGTACTGGCAGCAGTATGCAACATGTTCCCAGTGAAGTGCTATGAGTCATGGAGTTAAGATCTGTGACCAATTACTTTGAGCATATTTTAATAACTTAAATACAAATAAAAAAAACATTGAGCTTATGGTCTGGAAATCTGCTCTTCATTTTTAACCATTTTATCAGAAATTTAAACTACCATTTCCTAATGTTTGTTGGATTTCAGAAGCTGTAACCCTCTCACTGCAAGAGCTCCTTTTTATAGAGAACTCCTAAACAATGTTACTGGTAACTGTCGAAACGGGTCCAAATTCTGAAAAGACAATCAAAACATGTTTGGACTCGCTGCATGACACCTAGTTTCACATCAGGAATGACATGATTTTTATTTGATCTTTTCATTTTATACCAAAGCAAACATAACACAGCCATCTTATTCCACTGAAGATGACCATTATAAATTCTAACTCAACTAGAACAGCAAGCAGTTGCTGGCCTCTATAGGCTACGCCCTAAAAAGGCGTTCCCTAGTGTATCTTTGCCTTTAACCACAGCTTTGTATATATGTGAGTGCGTGTGCACATATGTGTATGTGTGTGTGCATACATGGGCATTTAAGAAGCTAAAAGAGATGTAAGAAAAGACAGAATTATTTATTCCCAACAAAAATAACTCAGCTCCTATTCTTCTTTTTTCTTGCTCTCTGTGTCAGTCTGTGTGGGCCACGCTACACACCGACCCATTGCCATAGTAACCGATTGACAACAGCTCCACAAGTGTATCAGGATTCAACACAAGAAAACACACAGGAACACAACATTCAGTGTGCTACAGTTTTATGTTTTTAGGTTTAAGGTTTTTTTGTTTTTTTTTATTAATAATAAGTGATCGTCTGAACACTGAATAACTGTTTTAAACACTTACCTGAAATGCATCAAATTCTGCGTGCGCGTGTGTGTGTGCGTGTGCGTGTGCGTGTGTGTTTGTTTTAGGTCCCGACTGGCTGACTTCTTTGTAAACTGCATGTCGGAGCCTCGCTCGCTGTCTGGCTGTCTGAAGGAGAACTACGCTGACTGTCTCCTGGCTTACTCCGGCCTTATTGGTGAGTCCCAACATGCAAACATGATAAGAAAATGTAGATGTTGGGGGGTGGGAAGGAGTCAATTGAATTCTTCCTTCCAGCTCATCTGATTTGTTTACACATCTCACCGTCTTTCACCGACAAGTGGAAACTTTAAGGAAGTTCATTTTTCCTTGAATCCAAGCAAACTGTCAGCTCGCCTTTTCTCACATCCTGCAACAAACCAAACCGAGCCGCTCACACACACACACACACACACACACACACACACACACACACACATATATATATATATATATATATATATATTGTCCACATAGTGCCAATTTATTCTGCCTACTGCAAAACAAAAAAAGACCCTTATTGGACAGCAGCCAGCTCAAGGGAACAATCCATTGGGGGAGTGAGAAATCACTGACTGAAGCTATTTGCTTCCCATCGCAGAGAGAAAAGGCTATTCTTCACTTCAGCCCCTCTGCATTCTGCTTCCTCAGTTTGTTTCCTTTGTATGTGAAGGAAAAGAAATGAATACATGTGGTATTTATTTATTGTTGCGTGCAAAAGAGAAGGTCTTCAGAAGTGTTTAAAATGATCGTTTTAGACAATTTCAGACAGAAACTGTGGATAAGATCACATTCCTTGCTGAACTTGAGTACTTCAATGAATCCTTGTATTCACCTCCTGCAGGCACTGTGATGACTCCCAACTACCTGCGCTCCCCCAAAATCAGCGTCTCCCCTTACTGCGACTGCACCAACAGTGGCAACAACAAAGATGACTGCGACAAGTTCACAGAGTTTTTTACGGAGAACACTTGCCTCCGTAAGTTTTCTGTTTTCAAATCATGGCTCTTCCTTGTGATGGTTTACTATTTTCGTCCTCTCTGCTGGTCTTTATCCTGCTCTGCACTCATATCCCCTCTTCTTTTTTTCTTTTTCCTCTCCTCCAAACCAAATTTATCCCTTTGCCGAAGTTGCATTATTATCCCACAGCATTACAGAGAAACCAGCCTTACTGCACCGCAGTGTCTGACTGTGAGTGCATTGTGTTCCTGGTTTGCCGTTTGTGTGCCTTAAGGCTGTTGTTGAACTCTTCTCATGGTTTCCACAGACAAAAAAAGCTTTTTATGCAACTGTTTTTATACACAAAGTTATTCTGTTTCTGGGAAAAAAAAGTAGGAACATTTGAAAAACTGTTTTTTTCTGTATGTGTTCCTAAGCAAACAACTGGTGCTAATCTAATTAAATTGTTACATACATAATCAACATCCATCCTTCCATCTACTGTCTATTGACCTTTTACATCTATGTCACCTAATCGCAATGGTGTCTTGAAGGAAGAGGGCGATGGAACTATTCAGCAGAGTGATTGCAATTCTTCTCATGTTGTTTTTCTCAGGATATCCATGGTTCCTACTTGTTCAAGTTGAGCTCATTTATCTGTAGAAGTAGCCCGTCCAGCTCCTGGGCTCATAGACAGCAGACTTTACAAAAGTTGGAAATAGGTGGCTTAGAATCAAACCATACTTTCTCTTTCCTGATGTGTTTGTTGAATTGATCAAATTACCAACTTTCCCTGAATTTACACCACATGATTCTATCACTATGTCATAAACAACATTTCCCCTTACACCAGAGCAGACTTAAAAATGTACAAAAGTCTAGAAGCTAAGCAGTTTTTCAAACGTAGACGGCTACATGGGGGTGGGTCAATTTCCCGTTGGTTATTGATAATTAGACAAGTGCCTTCACCTTAATGCAATATTTGATAGCATCTTAATTTTAGATAGACCTCAATTTTACTTATGAGGTCTATCACCGTTAATATTCATACCTTGTAAAAAGTGTTCACTTCAAATCCTCAAATACCCTGAGGCCTGCCAGTCCTTGTGATTGACGGCTGCTATCCATATCTGACTTCTTTCCTCTTCAAAGGTTATACAATAAAATGACAAGTTTGGTTTGCATCTGTGCAGCTGATCATACAGTACCCTATGAATATTTTTACTAAATGAAAGTAACCAATTGTCTGTTTTGTTGACTTTTTAAGAGTTAATGAGGGCAGACGTCATGGCCGATTGGGACACTTTTTGAAGTATTTGACGTACTCATGTCTATCACCAGCAGTCATTGGGTGAGGGGTGGGATGCACCTTTGACGGGTCGCCACGCCAGTACATCACAGGGCAACACACACACAAGGGACAGACCACCCTGCACACACTCACACCTGAGGATGACTTGGATTAGTTAGCTAACCCAGCAGTCATGTTTTTGAACAGGGATGGAGTGAAGACTTCTTACACAGCAGTTCTGTTTCTTCTCCTCACGTTGTCGCTTTTTGAATAAACTTTATTGAGCAAAAGGCAAGTATACAATAAATGAACAAATACCACACTCACATTAACTAACAAGCTGGGAAGTTAGCATCACTCCCCAACTATATATGCAAAAAGTCATATATACAAATTATTTGGATAGATTCCTCATGTTCTCCACTCATGATACGGTGCAGCAAATGACTATTATTCTGTACCCAGAATGCATTGCTGTAGGACTACAGGTTGTGGTAACCAGCGTAAAATCTGATGATATCCTGTGTGCTTTCTGACAGAAGCCCTGCATGGTCAGAAAGGTAAACTCAGCTACGGAGTTAGCAATACTCAGCAGCTATAAAACTGAAACCAGGAGAGAAAGGTCTGTTCCAAACCACGTCCTGAACAGAATGCAGTAACACATCTAATCCTGTTGAGGGTGATACACATTCAGAGAAGTGGAATAAGGCAATTATCCACATCATGTTAACATTTAATTTCCAGGTAACACACAAAAATGTTTTTGTTTAATTAATTCATTCTAGCAAATATAACATAATTATGTCACATGTTAACCTAACAAAATAATTTTGAATTTTGCAAACACAATACGTTTTAGCTCAGCTAATTACCTCAACAATACCTCTTTTGGCCATAAGGGTGCAGTAATGGCTACAATAAAACTGGATAAAAAGAAAAAACTGTGTAAACCAGATTAATCTGGATATTCATCAGAAGACTATAATGATGTAACATGTTTTCTAAGCTTGAGCATGAACATAGCTGAATTTAGCTCTTACATTAGCTTCCCCTAAATAACATGTTGGTGTAGCACTTTAGCATTAGTGGAGCTAAAATTTATAATTAGTGCTATTGGGTTAGTCCTACTAACATTTTAGTTAGTGATGCCCACTACTGCCTAAACTTTTCCCTTAAGTAAACTCTTCAGTCAGCAGGGAATACTATGTGATCCTACAGTCAATGTCTAGCTGCTGTCTCATGCTGCACGGCCCTTTTTACTGACCAACAGTATAATAAATCACTTGGATATTGATCATAATATGCATTCAGTCTTTTCAGCTTTTTGTTAATTACAGAAATGTTTTTGATTTCTTTTAGACAGCTATAATATTCGTTAAAAATTATTTTTTGTGTGTGTTTTGCTCCACTTCAAATGGAAGACCTTGACATGAAGAACTTTTTAAAGCAAATGAATTGTTTCTTTCAATGATTATATTTGACTCTTTTTTGATATTAGACTATCAGCTGCTGCCTTTTTCACAGCTGAGTTTAATGCAATGTGACTTTTTATTGATTTTTCTTTGGAGGACGGAGGAAGGGGTCAAGCAGGGAACATGTTACTCAAGGACGAGTGAGATGGATTTGTAATCCATTTGTGTTATACTTAAATCTTGTTCAAATAAAGAGAATAATGAACGATGAAAGATATTTATTCAAATGTAAGAGTTGTCTCAGCTTTAAGTACTTTATTTATATGTCATGGTTCTGAAAATGCAGACATAGTTTTTTTTGTAAAAGGTGGTACAATAAACAAACAACACATTAATTTTTCAGACGTGGTACAAAAGTGCCATGTATTTTTCTGTGTACCTCCAAAATATTACCGCAAAATTCACCTATTTATGGATTTTATTTTTTTGTAGGTCATATTAAAAGTACTGTAATCAAAATGAAACTTTGTGGGCTAACATACCTAGGCACAATGCCGCTTGACAGGCCATTGGCTAGCATTTGGAAAGCATGCAGAAGTTATTTTCCTTGGGGCATCCTCTGGTACTCAAATGGCAATAAAAAAACTGGAAAGAAAATAAAGATTAAACATAACTTTTGCAAACTGTAGTAGTGTTAGAAAAATAGTCTAAAGTAATGGATATTGCTGTTATAGTTACACCAGTTTGAAAATCAGTCTAAGCCGTCAGAAGGTGCAATCGCGTTGCTAATAAATCTGTTACTGATTCAGTCGATAAAACGATGAACCAGAAGACACCTTGACAAGCAGCCCGTTAATCAGCATTCCTAAATCACTGTGTGCTTTGGGACGTTACAGACGGTGAAAATAATGAGCTTCAGTGACAATGAGGGAACTTGGTACTGCCAGTGTTTCTGCTCTGCAGAAGCAAAGTTGCTGGTTTGGTTTTTCCCCGTCAGAATGACAGCAAGGGGATGAGAAAACACCAACAAGATGCTGCCTCATTTTCACCAACTCTTCTGTCTTTTGCCCTTCTCTTTCTGCTTCTCTGTTATTTTAATTTCATCCTGCTTGGTTTATCTTATTATGCTATTCCTGGTTAACAAGGTCAGTCTTTTTGCCAAAAATCACTTTTTTTCACTCAAAAATTACTAAGGCCTTTATTTTAGGGAGATCATGCTATTTGACAAAGCTAGTCAACTTATTGTTTCTGTCAGTTTCAGTTTCTTTAATATCTATTTTACATTGGCTGTTCTACTTTTAACTGCACCGACTGAACAAATGAAAGTTTTTGTCTGTATTTTTTATTTTATTTTATTTTTTTAAAGAAATTTCTGCTCCATTTTCCTGTATTATATTGGTATTGGCCGATATTTAACCTCAGATATCAATATCATTATCGGAAGTGAAACAATTGGATCGGTGCATCCCTGCTGTGTAATGTCTCAAAGTCCAATTTGTAAGACCAGAGAAGTTAATAAAAGCTTTAAATCTGTTTTTATGCTATTCAATGTCTTGTCAGTTTTAATAAACAGATTCAATAGTTGACTCTCTTTTTTTCACTGTTTCTGCATTTTCTGATCACTTACGCCTTCTTTTACTCATTCCCCTTCCACTTGGCAGTCCTCATCCTTTCCTTTCTGGTCTCAGCCGTTGTCCTTTCATGCCTTGCCTCTTTCTGCTCTCATTAAGCTTGCTCAGCAGTAACTGGAACTGACAACTCTAAAGATCCTGACACACAACCAGCCACAGGGTCACGACAAAAGAGAAAGACAGGAAGACGGAGAAAGGGCAGAAGTAAAGAGAGCATCTAGTCCGTATGCTGCAGTTTAGACTCCTTATTGTGGAAGAGCTGGAGTTTCCTAATTAAGACAGATTTGAATTTATCAGCCTTTAATTCTGAAGCGTGCAGCCTTCATTTTTTGGCTTCTGACCCTATTAAAATAAAGCCAACAGAGTCTGCAGTTTGAGATATTCCTCATGTGGTTTTTCTCTTAACTTGATAAAAGCATAAAGAATATCTGGTGAGAAGATAGCAAATCCATTTTGATCCTGTAATTTGTCTTACAGTTTATCAGCGTTTGCAGTGTGACTCCTCAGCTGAGATTTGTATCTGCCGCTTAATACTCTCAAAACGACACCAAAGTCTTAATGTATTCAAAGCTTTTCCATGGCTTGTTCTCTGGAAATGCAAAGGTCACACTAGCCATCTGAATTCTATCTTTACAACAATCCCTGTGTGTGTAAAGTGAGATATAAAGCCGTAAATAAAGATGTCGGTGTGGGAGTCCTCCCTGCACACAGCAGTATCTGCTGTAGAGGAAAGATTGTATCATGTTTGGTGAAATGCACTGTGTGGTTGGATGTTTGGATGAATGTTTGGGTTTGCAAATTAAAACAAGGAAAACTTTTTTTAAGTAAGATATTTCCACAGCTTACATTCAGGGACTCCCCCCAGAAAACTAGCTAAGCCCGCTGGTTGGAAAATCATCCAGCGTCCAGCTTTGTTTCAGTTAAAAAATATTCAGAAAATATACGTTTTAAGTATTGTCAATAATGTCTTCCAATAACACATAACCATCACCTATTAAGCCTTACAAAGGCAAACAGAAAAAAAATACAATTAAAACAAGGACCACTTTTTATATTTCAGCTGTTTCATCCTAATTAAAGTGTTTAAAAGGTCTTGATCATTTTTCTGTGACTTGTCACTTTATTCCATCCATTTTTACTAATGTGATACTTCAAATGTGCATAAAAAAACCATGTTGGAAATGCAGCTTAAATAATATCACTTGAAGGAATCTAAACAGAGCTGTTTGTAATTTGGACATCATATTGCGCTGTCGAAAAAGTCCGATCCATTCTGTGATGAAGAGTGTTAGTCATATTAGAGAGAAAAATGACAATCTTCTTACATATTCTCATTTTCTGAGTACATTTCAATGGATGTTTTCCAATAATTTTTGTACAATCTTAGTCAAACGTCATAAAATATTTCTACCACATTTCCTCTGAAGCTGTTCAGAAGATACTTTGGTCTAGAAAATGTTTATCTATGGTTATATTTATGAAGAAATATTTATATAGTTATATTTTGGTGCAGTAGTGACTGTAAACTGGTTTTATGTCTCCCGACTCAACAGGGACAAAAATACCAATTCCTCGGCTGTGGAAAGCCAAACACACCATCTCAGAGTTTACTATGCAAATTCACTGGAGGATTACTGCGAAACCCTTATATTAATACTTCCAAGTGTTGAAGTTTAATCTGTATGAGGGCAGGTTAAACCCACTGGTTCTTTTTCTGGCTCCAAACAGGGCCAAGCAACACCACTTAAATGAGATTATCATAAATTAGGTTTCACATTTCACTGAAAATAATTACTCTGGATGCTCCTGTCATAATGTTTTTTTTTTTCCTGCCAAATATGTTGACAGATCTGAAAACCCAATTTCACACTGATATCTACATAAAACAATTAAGCACACTTTGTGAAACATTCTGAAATATTTGTCACATACGCTGTTACCTGTTTGTTTGTATCCTAACTTATCTCACTCGGAAAGATAATTTGTATAAAATGTAGACAACAGAAATGAGTTTGATCAAGAATACTGTAGGACTCATGCAGAGAGGACATACACAGCCGACTGTAATTAGGCTTTAAGTGAGGAGGCAGACAAGACAGAAAAGAGCCATCAGTTCTTCCAATGTGCTCATCAGCCTTCTGCTGTCTCCACATAAAGCTTCCAGCTACTCAATCAAAAAAACATAAGCAAAAATAAAGTATTCACAGTCTCTATTTGGCAAAAATAGACCCAATCAGGCCATAAGGATGCTGAAAATAACAGTCTGTGCTTAATATAAATTTTCTGAAACAATTACCAGCCTGTTTGTTTACTATTTTAGTTTAGAAAGAAAGGTGTTAAAACAGAACTATATCAATTTACCTGCCTGGCACTTTTTCAGTCAACATCAGTAGTAAACCATAATATTCAGTTTATAATCTGGGATTTGCCAATTGCAAATGTTTTTCTATGTGAGACTTTTTAAGGATGTGTCGACTCTCCTCCAGATTTTACTTAGTTCAGTCACGGTATTACACTTGCCAAGTGGAACCAACTGGAAACTTCTTTGTAGGTCACAGTGTGTTTAATCTGAAGTCATTTCCAGGAGAAGAAGGGCAAGGAAAGACAGGAAGCAATGAGGCTCAGTTCTCACCAGCTTGTCTCTTTAAATGCCAGGTTCAATCAGCATCCAGATGTCTGCTTACTGACAGGCTCATGATCTAATGTCAGGATATCCACATAGTTTATTGTCAGATAACTTGAACTTGCATCTTGAGGAATTGCACTCTATCAATCCTGTTGTTAGACGTTGAGCTGTTGGAGACATTGGAACTAACTTAGACAGCTTTGTATTGAACACATTGTGAGCATCAAAGTCATGAAGACCAAACTTTGAGTTTCAACAGCTGATGAAGGAATTTGCCCTTTGCCAGACTGGATAAGTTTTCTGGTTCAGTCTTGTTAGAGTCGCGGTATCTTTGGTGAGAAATGAAAGAACATGAGAAGGACAGGATGGACCTGGTTGTTGACCTCAAACTCTACATTTCCTCCTTGAGTTTGTGTGATTTTCATGTTTGTTTTGATCAGGATTAAAGCAATTTTAATTTGCTTGGTGTACATTCATGTCAATATATATCTATAATCGTTTAGATCCCTTAGCGGCATTAGTTGATAAACTTCACTAGCTGCGTTTCCATTACAAAGCTGAGCAAAACTTTGTTGATATTCTATTAATGTCATAAAAACATGATTTCACAATTGCAGTGTTTCAATTAAATAAGAAACGTTAAAATCACACATGAATACATTTGATCATGTGATTGTCCTCCTACCACTTCCTGTTATCTTCTTCATGGTTTGCTCCAATGGCAACATCCGGTTATTGATCATGTGACTGGTAAGATGTGAAAGAAGTGTTTGCAGTTTTGCAAAATAAACCAATTTTGATACGGCCAAAAACAAACACCACCTCATCCTAGCGCCAAAACTTTTCATCAAAAAATGAGTGTGACAGACAACAGTGTTTTTAGATCGGATCATATAGAAGTGATTTATTTTGCTCAAGCCATTACTTTCTGTTTCGCAAAGGAAATGGCATCTAACCAATTTAGATGCTATGAGAAATTCACTTTTTTTCAGGCTAAAGTTATCCTCCATTCACACAACGTGAACTTTTTCAACAGAACCCAGCCTGCACAAAAGTACTTTCAGATTCCATTTTTGTTTGGGTTCACAAAGCTACTCGTGCACTTATATGTGTCACATAATTATCATAATAATAAAAAACTGATTCCTAATCTTTGGAGCAAAAATTAATTCAGTGATTTACATTTAATTAGCTAAAAATCACATTACAAATTAACACCCTGGTACATCTCACCATGTAAACGTCATTGTGACACTTCACACCCTCAGTTTCTGTGGGGTTAAAGAGCTGTTATGCAGATCCGCCCGTCGCCGTGTTACCGCAGCATCAGGGTCATAATTCACCGTTAGAAGGAAGCATATCATTATATTCAAACAGCAGCTCTGTAAAGCTCAGCTATTCTTCTGATGTGTGCGTTTGTGCTTTACATCAAAGCCACAGCAGACTATTAATAGGACCGCTAATGGACTCTAATGGTAAAAAGTCACATCAGCACTCAGGTTTTTGACGGTGTGGTGAATTTATAATGAAAGGAAGTGATAACAAAACTTAAGTACCTTCTAACTCTCCTTTAATTGTGGTTCCAATATAAAATTTTATTTTAACATAGGGAATAGCAACATTGTGATGTGCGATATGACTCAGGTGGGTGCTAAACTGGCACACTGGAAATCCTTCTTTACCATCTCAGCTTATCTAACACTGACTCCCCTACAGCTGGCATGTCAAGCTGACATTTTGAGATTATCGCTGTTGTTTTCCATAGGTAATGCCATCCAGGCCTTCGGGAACGGAACAGACATCGGGATGTGGCCGCCGATATCTCCCGTTCAGACCACCACCTCCATTACCACGCCCTACCAAAGAAACCGCGAACGCATCCCCAACAACATAGACAACCACATCAACGCTGACTCCAGCCTCTACCACTTCTGTGGCAACTTACAGGTGAGACAAAGTAAAACTCTGTATCACAACTCTGGCTGAG